GGCGGGAGCCACCGCCGACGGGGATGTCTCGGAGGGTGCCGCCGTGGGTCCAGTAGCGGCGGCAGGATTTGCAGAAGTGGCGGGGCTGTGAGAAGTTGTAGTTATTGTAGTAGCAGAACTTGGTGTTGGTGGAGTTGCAGCGAGGGCAAGGAAGCTGCTCCTGATCCGCCGGCGTAGAGCCTGCTCCACCGTGGGGCTTGGGCACCGTTCGCCGCGTCTCACCGGATTCTAGTGGCATTTTCGGAGACAGTGCTTGTCAGGAAGAAAGAGGAGAGCTTGGCGATGAAATGTTGGAACTTTGAGTGTGGATAGGGAGCTTCTGGGTTTTTGTTGCTTAAATGGAGGCAAGGCAGAAAGAGAGAGAAACATGCGCAGATAGATATGAGGAGAGAAGGGGAGCAAATACAGACTTTTGACAGTCTTTGTTGGGTTTATCAGAGGCCACGCTCTCTCTCTCTCTCTCTCTCTCTCTCTCTCTCTCTCTTTCGTTTTTTTTTTTAACTAATTTTTTTTTTGTGTTTTTAGGTTTTTGGTGAACAGTGAAGCCAACTCGACTCAGTTCGGTTCATTTTTTAACGAGTCAATAAAACTTTGACTCATCTCGCTCGCTAATTTTTTGAGTTGAACGAGTCGATTGATCGAACTAAAGATATATATAATATTTTCTATTTCTATTAATTTCTCATTTAATGATAAATAAAAAATAAACATATAAAACTTAAATATCATAAACTAAATAAGAAAACTATTGGTATGATTTCAAAACAAGAAAAAAACAATCCAACAATAGTTCAATCAGAATTCAAAAACAAGTCGACAAGATACTAACAATAATATATATATATATATATGTGTGTGTGTGTGTGTGTATGGTGGTTAGTATATTTTATATATTGATGTATATTAAATGGTCAAAAAAGTATTGCATTCTGGAGAATAATATATAGTTCGACGTGTATACAGAAAGATGACATATATATATGTAGGGTTTCAAAATGTATTTCCGATTCCATGGCAGTAGCCGATAAGCTGTTCAAATCGAAGAAGGACGTGGGATTTGGTCCAATTCATTGGCCACAACTATGCCACGGAAGCCATTAGATCTTATTGGTTAGTTTATGATACGATATTATTATGAAAGTGGCAAATAGACCCCGCAATGTAAGACTAGGAGAGAGAGAATAAAACTGTATCAGTAAACATGTTCAGTTATCACGTGCCGAATAACACGGAAAAGTGTAGGGAAATGCTGCCAAGGAAGGACAGATAGGACGGTCAAAGAGATTGAAAGGCAAAGGCTTGGAGCTTGTCGGCTCGGAAAGGGGACTTATACTATCACAGTGTGAGATTCACGCCCGCCCCTCTTCTCTCTCTCTCTCTCTGTATATGTGTATATGTATACGTATACGTTATGTGTGTATGCATGCATGCATGCATTGTGTGTGTCTGCGTATATATTGGTGCAGTCGTGCTTTCAGTGTTGTCGCTTACGAGATCAAGACGAGTCGTATCAGATTCAGTTGTCTCATATTCAGAAATCAGAAACACTTTCTTCTTCTTCTTGGTCTTATATATATTCCTCCTCTCCTCTGTCTTTTTCCACTTCCACGATTCTCTCTCTAGGGGTACTTCTGTCATTCCAACCCCCAATTGCCTCGCGTTTCTCCTCGTGACTCGTCTATGTAAGGGGTACTTTTGTCATTTTGTGTGATGCGGCGGATACGTATCCATATGCGAATATGGATCTCTTCCTTGCTCTCTGTGCTTAACAAATGGGCCCGATGGGCCCAATCCCATCACAGTTTTGTAATTCAATTTTCACCCCGGATATTAAAAAAAAGAGAAATTTTATATGATAAGTTCCAATTAGATCAAATTATATACAACTTTGTTATCCAGGATGATTGAACATTATATTTCGTAATTAAGTTTCTGTTAACAAGATTAATCATGCGAGGAAATGACAAAAGCATCCGTCCTGAATAAAAATTTAACTATGGCCGATATGTATTTAAACATTATAAAATTTAAATTTGTAGCGACGTAAGGGATCCATTGGGCTTATATGGAGGCCTAAAACTCCGAGACCATTTACAATTTCAATTGAACTTTACGTTTGTAGGTTTTACCAATAGACGGGCCAACCAAATGAATGGCCTATTTGACTATTGGTATAAATTTGAAACATCCAAATTACGTAGCCTTTTAAAATTGCATGGCATTCTCTCACTTCATATAATATATATATATATATATATATATATTATGCATAAGGAGATTACAAAATACAATATGCCAAAATAAAGAAGTGTAGGAACGGATGAGTTGAAATAAAGATGCATGGATTGGTGATTTTACGTGTTAGTGGACGTAAAGGAACGTGTAATGATCGTCCTTTATTTTTTTAAAAAAAAGCCAAAACAATGAATGTGTCTCTTTTCATTTTGTTCCATGTGGTTGTTATTGTGCGTATCGCACGAAACATCCCATTATTTTAAAAAAAATAATTATTATCAAAGCTGAAGTAAACTTTATTGCATGGGCACCTAAATCATAATAATCCACCATATGTCCAATGTAAAAAAGACAATCTAGATAATAATGTTAATAAAATAAATAAAGCGATCCAATAATTAAAGGTCGAACAAATAATACACAACAATTGTGCCAAAAGAGTTCCATCGTTCATTGCGACTGATAAGTGAGCGTCACATCGCTTTGTGTTGCACGTCTTATTCTTATTATTGTTGATATTACAATTACTAAATTTCAGATATTTATATATCCTATTCCAATTTTAACGAATGCCATAGAGAAAGCAAAGCTTTTCGAGTGTTTAAGAATTATTATTATTTTGTTAAAGGTGTTTTAAGAATTATTTGTAGGCAAGATAAGGCGTAAATGATTGCATTCATTGATAAACTATCTATTAAATTAAAAAAATATAAATATTTTAGTATACCATATGCGAAATGGAAACAAAAAAAGAAAGAGTATAAGGTTTTTTTTATAATATTTTTTTTATATATAAATTCATTTGACTTCTAACGTCGAGAATATCGTGCCGCATGAAAAAGCCAAAGGATGGCATGACTTGACGAAGGGTAATTATGTAATTTCATGATGGTTGACTAATGATATCATTATAGTATAAGCTGGTTGGCTCCCGGTGGCTTGTCTTCTATAACGATTGAGTGCACGTTGCATTCCATTTTCCAACATTATTACTCTAACGTCTATACACACATACACACACATATATATATATATATATATAAAGTAAAATTTCAAAATATTCGCAAGACAATGCTTGAATTGGGTACCGAAAATAATTATAACATATTTTTGTGCAATTGTAGCTTTCTTGTGCTCTATCGTTGTTAATTATTACTCCATTCCATATTGAATATAGCAACTGCAACTTTTGAGGTAAGAATAACGAAATATACTTGCATGGCAAGAGACTTTTGAGGTGTATGTGTGTATATAATATATATATATATAAATAGGAGTGGGCCTTTCGGGAAACGGATCGGGTGCGGAACGAGAATGGATCGGTTCGGTTTTTTCGGTTTTACAAAAATAGATACCAATCAGTTTTTATATTATATTCGGTTCGGTTTGGTTTCGGTTTTTATTAAAAAAAGATAGATTTTCTTTAAAAAATTTCGATTCTTCGGAATTTTCTAAAATTCGGTTCGGTTCGATTCTGGAAAATTTAATTTTCTAAAAATAATACTATTCAAAAATTTAGAATAGTTCAGATCGAAAATAGGTACCCTATATATATATACACCTAACTTTAACTTAATCAAAATGTAAAATTTTCTAATCGTGGTGTGGAGCCACATGTTATGGTTATGGATAATAAACAAACCCAACCACCTGTCTCACATCACCTACTGTATTTAATATTTTTTTTTATTCCCGTTGATTTTCTTTCTGATTATCTTTATTTATTTTTATATTTTTGGTCGGCTATGCCTTGGAGATAAATGTGATGCCATAAATACCTTCATAAATGGGTAAGTTGGATCAATAAAATTGGACATTTATTACTACTGACTGGTTTGGTGCGGGCAGATTCTTCGTGCCAGTTTAAAGAAATATAATCTTACACGACCTACAAAAGAATAGATAACCATGGATGATTACTTATGAAAAAGAGGTAATTTATGAATACGAGAAATCTGTTTTTTAAATAAATGTTATCTACAACAATAAACAATTTCCAAGACACCTTAAATAAAAATTTATTTTAAAGTGTTTTGGAAAATGTTTTGGAGTAAAAAAATATCGATTTTGAAGACACCAAATAATTTTGGAATACTCTTTCCGTTTCAAAATAAATGTGTTCTAGATTTTATCATAGTTTTTTTTAAAAAAAATTTAAAAAATATATATCCTTATTAAACCGCATTTTTTAATAAACCACATTTTTATTAATGATCTAATGAAATGAGATGTTTTTAAACAAGGGTAAAATTGAAAACTTTATTAAAAATAAATTGCCTAAAAAATGTAAAATGACATGCATCTAATAAAAAAAAAAGTTTCTAAAATGATATGTATTTGGAAAAGGAAGGGTTATCGTTTTTCTTTAGGCAGTTGTATGGTATCAGAGGGCCAGCTTCTTGCCAGTCTTTTTGACTCTTTAGCTACAAAATTCAGACAAAATGGAAAAAAAAAACACGAAAGAGAAAGCTTTCGTGGGTCCCAATATCGCCAATCAGCAAAGATCTGACATTGAATTTTTAATTCAAATGATCCAACGTTACGTGGATTCGATTGATTTAAAGAAAAATAAAAAGATTGTCGGAACAGCAAAAATAAGGCTCATGTTGTTGTGGAAAGTCAATGACTTTTGCTCACTGTTCGTGAAAGGAGGATGATCATGATAGGTTCCGAGAGGAGAGAGAGAGAGAGATTACAAACGGACACTCAGATTTCTATGTTCTTGTTGCTTGCGATTATTGGATTTTAGTGCTCTGTGTTGGCAATTGTCAAGTGAGGATCTGATGTCAAAGGGGTTAGCTTTGCTTTGATTTCTCTTCCTTTTAACTTTCTCTTCGACAGGGTTTGGTTGAAGGGGTGGGAGAGGGAGCGAGAGAAGCTCATTTACGAGTTTCAGAAGCGAATCATCACGCCATTAGATTCTGAGGAAACAGGTATTATTCTCAAAGTTTCCGTTGGAAGCCCTTGGTTCTGCATTTCAGTTCTGGATTTCTGTCGGAGAGATCTGTTTGGGTGGTTTCTGGTTGTTACCGTCTGTGTCTTGTTCTCGCTCTCTCTGATAGAGCCGGAACCAGGGTTTTGACTTTCTGATCTGTTACCGAATTCTGGGGGGTTCCATCGTGTTCTATTTGTTCAAGTTTGGTTTTTTACCTGATCTGTGGCAAGAGATTCTCTTTCCCTTTTTTTTTTCCCTTTTTGGGTTTGAAATTGAATCCAGTTTAGGGGAAATATCGGCTTGCCTCCTGGGTTCTCTTTCTTATCATCTGAGAATTCCAAATTGGAAACCTTTTTTTGCCTCTCTTTTCTGAAATTTTGGATTAGGGTATCGGAAAAGAAGCAGGTTTGGGACAGGGTTTTTGCCGTATGGACTAAAGTCCCCAGCTTTTATTCCTCTTGCGTTGAGAGCAAAGCCAATCTTACTCTTATCTGATTAGGGTTTGAACTCGTACGATTGGGGAATTCATTCATGCATCTCTCGCTTTGGAAGCCCATTTCCCACTGTGCAGCTCTGGTGCTGGACAAGAAGAGCAGCAGGAAACGAGATGGGTCCGAGTCAACGGCCGTGACGCAGCGAAAACTCCATGAAACCAGACTCCGAGAGGCTCTAGAAGAAGCATCGGAAGATGGGTTGCTCGTCAAATCCCAAGACATCGAAGATGACGAGCCACATGACCAGAGCCTCGGGCGGTCCAGATCACTCGCACGGCTCAACGCTCAACACGAGTTCTTGCGAGCCACGGCCCTCGCGGCTCAGAGAACCTTCGAGTCGGAAGAAGCATTGCCCGCCATTGAAGGAGCCTTCAGCACGTTCCTTACGATGTACCCAAAGTATCGATCTTCTGAAAAGATCGATCGGTTGAGGGAAGATGAGTATTGCCACTTACTATCGCTGCCAAAGGTATGCCTTGACTATTGTGGATTCGGATTGTTCTCGTACGTTCAGACAGTTCGTTATTGGGATTCTTGCACGTTTAGTTTGTCGGAGATAACTGCGAATCTGAGCAATCATGCCCTTTACGGTGGTGCTGAGCCTGGAACTGTGGAACATGACATAAAGACTAGGATAATGGATTACTTGAACATTCCTGAGAGTGAGTACGGTCTCGTGTTTACGGTTAGCCGTGGTTCTGCATTCAAGTTGCTAGCTGAGTCATATCCGTTCCACACGAACAAGAAGCTTCTGACAATGTTTGATCACGAGAGCCAATCGGTGAGTTGGATGGCTCAGAGTGCCCGGGAGAAAGGTGCCAAGGTTTCTAGCGCTTGGTTCAAGTGGCCAACCCTTCGGCTCTGTTCCATGGATCTGAAGAAGCAAATCTTGAGTAAGAAGAAGAGGAAGAAGGATTCTGCAACCGGTTTGTTTGTGTTTCCTGTTCAATCTCGGGTCACGGGTTCTAAGTACTCGTACCAATGGATGGCACTGGCTCAGCAGAACAATTGGCATGTCCTTCTTGATGCTGGAGCATTGGGTCCTAAAGATATGGACTCCCTTGGGTTATCTCTGTTCCGTCCGGACTTTATCATCACTTCGTTTTATCGTGTTTTTGGGTATGACCCGACTGGATTTGGTTGTCTCTTGATCAAGAAATCTGTGATGAGTGGCTTACAGAGTCAATCTGGGAAAACTAGTTCGGGTATCGTGAAGATCACACCCCACTATCCTTTGTATCTCAGCGGTTCCATGGACGGGTTGGAAGATTTGATGGGGATTGAAGATCAGGATGTTGCCATAAATGGCGAGAAGGCCTCGGGAAATCGCCAAGGTTCTCAAATGCCTGCGTTTTCTGGTGCATTCACTTCAGCTCAAGTGCAGGATGTTTACGAGACAGAAATGAGTCAGGACGTTGGTTCTGATAGAGATGGTACCAGCACTATATTCGAGGAAGAAACTGAGAGTATCTCTGTCGGGGAACTGATTAAAAGTCCAGTTTTCAGCGAGGACGAGTCTTCTGACAACTCGTTCTGGATTGATCTGGGTCAGAGTCCGGCTGGTTCTGATAATGCTGGTCAGCTCATCCAGAAACGGGCTTCTCATAAACCGGCATCGAAACGTAACAGTAATGGCAAAGATTCAAATGCAGGGCAAAATGGTGGCGACCATGTCCTCTCGTTTGATGCTGCTGTTTTATCGGTTTCACAAGAAGTGGGCAATGTCGAAGAAGATAAATCAGACAGAGCTAACCAAAGAGACATAAGTGGATTGCAGGTTCATGAGATTGAAGAAGGAGAAACCGACGAGCCAGTTCCTTCTCATTCAGTGGAAAATGGCTCAACCTCTGAAATCAAAGAGAGTGCAATAAGAAGAGAAACCGAGGGTGAATTTAGGTTGTTAGGAGGAAGGGACAAGAGCAGATACAATGGTGGGAGGCTTCTTCTTGCTCATGAAGATGAACATCCCAGCAAACGAAGAGTATCTTTTACATTAGAAGATCAGGCCAGACATAGTTTTGAACCTGGAGAACCGTCAGCCATCAGTCTCGGTGACGAGGATGAAGATGAATATGGGAGCAATCCAGATTACGGCGATGGACAAGAATGGGACGAGAGCAGGGAACCCGAGGTAATTTGCAGGCACCTCGATCATGTTAACATGTTGGGCCTCAACAAAACCACCACAAGACTCCGATTTCTCTTAAACTGGCTCGTGACCTCTCTGCTCCAGCTAAGGCTGCCTAGTTCAGAATCAGAAAGAGGGCACCTAAATCTTGTTCAGATCTATGGTCCAAAGATAAAATACGAGCGTGGGTCATCGGTGGCGTTCAACGTGAGAGATGTGAACGGTAAGATGGTTCATCCCGAGATAGTGCAGAAACTAGCTGAAAGAGAATGCATTTCACTTGGCATTGGTTACCTTAGTCACATAAGGATATTGGATAGCCGGAAAGAAGATTCGAGCGTGTGGAAGCCGGTGGGAAACGGGTTTATACGAGTGGAGGTAGTCACAGCTTCTCTCGGGTTCTTGACAAACTTTGAAGATGTTTATAAGCTGTGGGCTTTTGTGGCTAAGTTCCTAAACCCTGGGTTTGCAAAAGAGGGTACACTCCCAACCGTTGAAGAAGAAGAAGAAGAAGAAGAAGAAGATTGAGGAACGCATAAAAATTGAGATGGTCTTTTTTTTCCACATCTGATGTATGTAAATGTGCCAGCTTATTTCCAGGAACACAGTGTTCGTGTATGGTTCTGAGAGTATACAATAGCAGGGGAAGACGGCGGAAGTTCATTCCCATGCTATTCTTGAAGCGTCTCGAATGAAAGAACAATCCATTTCCATCGATTTTTTTTTTTTTTTTTTCGGATTCCCTGGTCTTTACAGAATCATTGTAGAGTTGTGTATAGAACACGTTTTTTTTCCACATTCTCTGGGGAACAGAACTATAGTTTGGAACTGGATGATGTGACTTACGTTATTCTGCTGCAACCTTGTACACAGACGGCAGCATTTGCGTCAATGGAACTAAAGATACGGACTTTCTCGGATGGATTGCAATGGTAGAGGTTAGAAATGTTGAAAGCGGTACCAAACATTGATGGATGAACTTGGGGAGAAGGAGAGAGAGATGTCAAGTGACGAAAGAGTTTGTCTTTATGTTTCGTTGGACCTTGTCAGACAATGGACATTGATTCTCTCTCCTCTTCATACGATTTTTGTTTTACTATCTTCTCCTCAAAACTCGACTAAGAAAGAATTAGTAGTGAGGCTTTCTGCCCGACGATCCGCCCCCTCTGCTTCGTCGTCTCCCTCGCGGCGCACGTTAGCCACCGTCGTCTTTATCATGCGCTCGCCAGCGGAGGTAACCTAGGTACCCTACGCATCGCTTCACCTGCATTCTCTGCTCCATCGAACTGATGAATACATAGGAAACCCTAATTCGCCTCTACGACCACATTGAATTTGTCTTACTCCGCGGGTTGTTCATTTCCTATTACCATTGATTGAATCCGGGATTGATCGTTAGCTTTTTATCTTTTGATCAGGGAGATTCTACGATCCAATCAAATTCCATCATTCGTGACCGTAGCAGATTTATGGTGGCAGACAGGAAAGGACCTGCGGACGAATTTGTGGCGAGGAAATCAGATCTAGGTTTAAGGTTCGATGCGTTGGAGGGGATCGGGGACAGCCGGAAGCCGGACATGGCCAATCATGGAGTAGGGGCAATGATTCCGACTCGAGAGAGAGATGCCTCGCAGAGACGAGCAAACGGTTTTTTTTACCCAAATAACCCACTTGATTGGATTGGATAGCATCTATTTCATCTGTACACCATCGAAAACATAACACATTTTTTTTCCTACGAAAAGACAAAATTACTCTTAATGAATTACGATATTTATCCGTTCGAAAACAATTTCGTTATTACGACTTCGTAATTAAATCTAAATATAGTTACAACTGATTCTAAAAAAGGTGGCAAAAAATCATCTGTCTTATTTTTAGTTATATATCAGTTATATGTTAGTCGTAATAAAGTCACAAAAAAATAAAACGAAAAGGGTATTTTAGACTTTTCCCACCGAAAAGTGGGTTAAAATTGAAAAAAAAAATTGTTTTTTTGGATGGTGTACACTGAAATAGATGCGACCCAAATGGGTTATCTGGGTGATTTTTCCGGATCAAACGATGGTTTTTATCCGAAAGGCGAGAAGGGTTTGGATCCATTTTGTTGGCCTAATGGGCCGATTAAAGCCCAAATTATTAAATCCAACGGTCCGTATATTGTTTCTTTTTCAACGGTCCAGATTGAATCTCATTCTGCATCTCTCTCCCTCACCGTGAACATGACACTAAAATGCTCAGACCAGTTCTCCGTTTAAAGATGAAGCTGTATTTTTCGTATTTAATATTTTAATTTCATATATTCCTTAATCGGGGACAACACACAGTGTTTAGGCATTGGTCTTAAAAAGAAAAAAAAAATGAAACAGTGGGAGAGATAAGCGATGAGATACGAGATCCATTACATGACAAAGTCCGAGATCCGTTAGTATTTGCATGAGAATGGCCCTAAAACAACCATTAAACCCACAAAATTAAATTAAAAAACGAAAAAAGAGGAAGAGATGAAAGCCGCCATCAGAAGAAGGAAGAAGATGATGAGGCAGAGGACATGAGACGTTTCCGCTTGTAATTAGCTTTGAAACATGCCTGTCTTAAGCGCTTAGTCTTGTCCTCAAACTCCATATCTGGAAGCTCCTCTATCTTCTTCTTCTCCTTCTCCAGTATCTCCACTGCGTTCCTCAGTTTCCCCCCATTCTCTTCCCCTTCCATCTTCCCCAGCTCCTATACATACATACATGGTTCGCACGCAGTATAGTGTGTGTGTGTGTGTATATATATAGTCATATACGAAATCTGATTTAACGTTTAATTACCTGGACATTGCTGATTAGGGTTTGGAGGCTCATGAGCTTGCGGTGAGGCCAACGACGAATACCCAATTCACGACATCTCTTCTTCAAGAGAGTTAAGCCTATGTTCAGTTCCCTTGCTGCTTGAGTTATCGGCATATAAAAGTACCTTGAGATTATTTCCCTCGTCAACATCTTTGAAACAGGACAGATGTTCGTACTGTCCGTATCATCCTTGCATCTCTTACTGATTTTTCTGGTCTTGGCCGACTCTTTCCTCATGTTTTCTTCGATTTTCTCCAACACACAACCATCTTCTTCTTTGTTGTGTTCCTGAAACAGTACTGAGAGCTCGTCTCCGTAGGGCTCGGCCGGATAACCCGTTAAATCTACATCACAACCCAGCATGATCTGATGAGTGCTACATACATATATATACACATGTTATAGGCCTATAAATGCTATATATATGTAAACATTTGTCTATATATAGACCCTGAGACAAGTTATATACGTATATATGCATGCATGTTAGGTCTATGATACATGTTCATGTGTATATACATGTACATTTTTACCTTGAGGCAACTGAGATATTGGTTCGAGTTCAAGTGGCGCGGGGAAAATGTTATCAATCGCAAAACTTGTGGTGAAGGGAATAGCGTCGAAGCCAAAGTCATCTTCAGCACAAACTCCATTTGTCCAGTCCCCGAAAGGATTAATAACGAGCGCACTGCACCACGTGACAAAACACACCCATAATCATAAAAACAGATTAACTCTTTTCTTTTTCTTTTGTATAATGCATTCGAAATTATAATATGCTTTGATTGAAATTATAACATGTTCATCATGAGCATAAAAAAACGATTTGTTGCTTCTGTCAATGTACGTTATGTTCTTTCTTTCTCTGAAGTAGATTGGCATGCACCGTTCTTTTGGAGAGAGAGAGAGAGAGGATGAAGAAACATCAAATGTTACGGAGTAATGGGCAGAACTATAACTCTGAATCTAAATGGACAAAACATGCAAAATGGTGAAGTGAACTACCTGTAATCATCAGAGGAAAATGGCTGGTTAGGAAACGGAAAAGAAATTTCCTCTTTGGAGAAGAGCTCGCACTCGTAATGTTCAGACCAGCCGGTTATCGGTGTAGCCATTTCGAGAGAGAGAGAGAGCGAGATGAAGAGAGAGAATGTTAGAGAGAGAGAGAGAGAGAGAGAGAGAGAGAGAGAGAGCTCGCAGTGTTCTTACGAAATTTGAGGAAGAAAACGAATCGTGTACATGTGCGCATATATATGCATTGGAATGTATAAGCATGTGTGTGTATAGAGAGAGGGAGAGGTATTCATGATGAGAGAAGTGGGAAGTGACTACTTACGTCTCTTGGAGATGGTGAGATTGTGAGTTACGAGTAATTAATAGGTGGAAATGATTAATGGTAATTATTTCTACTATTAGGGATAAGCTGCCAATTTATTTCTAATTATTTCTTCTAATAGCCTCAACTTGTAAACGTTCGATAGGCTTTATGTTCCCATCATCTCTTCTCTTTCTCCCATGCAAGATTTCATAACCTCTTTTCTGTTTTCTTGCTCCAAGAGATACACTTTCACAAGTAATATGTAACACAACTATACATGCTCATATATACATATACATATATATATATATATACACACACATATGATTTATAGCACATATTTGTCTACGTGACGAAAATCCCGCCGAGCCGTGCTCATAATCGTAGATGGTTGAACAAAACTTCTGCTATAACTTTATATATGCTGATTTTTTAATTAAATAATAATCATTGGTTCGTCGACTAGGGGATATGCTATTTTATACACACATATTCTTCTTAACGCATCTGCTTTTTGGCATATTAAAGCACGTAACAAATTATAGAGGATATTTTCCAACAACTCATCCAAGAAAAAAAGAGAGGTTACAAACTTACAACACTAATTAATCGCAAACGGGAGTTACATTTTGATCTTAATTAACAGGAGGTTGTGGGTTCTTTTATTTAGCGCTCGCTAATAATTAGTGGGAGTTTAATCCATATTATTACTCGTTAAACTTGATCACATACCTGCTCGAAACGGAAAATAAAACAATCATATTCTCACAGCCCATTTAAATTTGATTACATACATTGTCATAGTGTTTTTTTTTTTAACAAAAATATGATTAAACTTTACCCAAGATGGCTAGACAGATCAAAACGAAATCAAAGTTTTCAAGCCCACCTTTATAATCAATAATGAAAGACAAAAACGAGAGAGAGAAAAACAATAAAAATCACGTGCTTCATTTCAAAGCCAAGCAAATTTCGGCTTTGTCTTATTAGGTCTCATCTCAAGAGTATACTGAACTTCGAAAGTCAAAAAGTCAACACACTCTTGCCATGATACCAACTCAACGATTTTACGTATATAACTGAAACGCAATTCACCCATTCACCCGCTATTAAACACTACGAATCCACAGAGATTGAATGCGTAAAACATTCTATAATACGTACACACGTCACGCCCTCGTTCATCGATATATGAACTTATATATATTTACTTCACTTTTCAATCCATTTCAAGCAATCTTCTCATCTCATCGACATCAAAATTCTGCCACCATGAACCTTCTCCATCGTCTTCTTCTTGATTGTCACCGGCTGTTTGATTCTCCGACGGTGGGTTCGCCTCCGGGAGGCGTCTGTCTCCGGCGGCCGCCAACTGAGCCGCCGCCGCCTCGTTATAAGCACGCACCGCCATCTCCGGCGTGGGGAAGGTCCCCAACCACCTCTTAGATCTGCCACGTGGATCCCATATCTCCGCCGACCATTTCCCCGACGGCCTCCGCCTCACTCCTTTGTACTTCACCTCACCATCGTGCTTCTCCTCCGAACCCATGATCTCGAAAGGTGCTGCCATGGCGGTCAAAGGCAGTGGTGACGGCGTTTCACATGCAGTGCCGGATATCACCTTTATAAAGGCAGAGACCATGATCTCATTCTCCTGCTCACATCGTGCCATGTAATGCGGCGACCACAAGGTCGATGATGATGATCCAACAGAGGCAGAGGACGAAGACGGATCCGGAAAAGTTGGGACCCAGCTGATGTTTTGTCTAGAAGAGGGGTTGTTTCGTGAAGAATCTATCATCTCGTGGTCATACAGCTGGAAATAAGAAGAAAAAGGAGCAGAAGTACAAGAAAGAGGATAAGAAGAGGAGGAAGAAGAAGGAATAGGGGCTAAGTTTCCATTCTTCCTAGAAGATGGATTATTTCCGGGAAAATCCATACTGTTGTTGTGAGGGCGGGAGCAAGAAAGGGAATGATGGATTTGAAATAATAAAAAATTAAGGGTTTAAGCTTTTTATATGAGAGGATGAGGCATGTCTTTTAGAATCCAAATCTGAATCCAATGTGGGGTCGGATTTTGAAGCGTTCTTCTCAGAAGACCCATCTGGCAAGAGAGCGTGTGATTTCACACGAGCACCAAAACTACGTCGGACACAAAATATCCTATGTTCTATTACGCAATAATGCAACGCACCCACAACTTTAGGACCATTTCTTTATGAACGATTTTTTCTATTCACACAGCTAATTACACAGCATATTCCAGACATTGACATCCCAAACTTTACGGGGCCATCTAATTGTTGTTAAGATTAGAGTTTTAGTTTCTTTCTAAAAAAAAAGAAATCGACATATACATATATGTATGGCGCATGTATCTACTTTTAGAACTCTCCTTTTGAGTTGACTCGCGCGTGTATTTTACACTTTCGTCGTTATCGACGGTCTTGGCCTTCTTACTGTCCTCGTCGGCAACCAATCCGAAGCTGTCCGTAGTGACCAAAATCATGCAACTTTTAATTTTTCGCCGACAAATTTTGCCGACTCATACAAAAGCGACCATTTCAATGATTTCACGTCACGACGCCCTTTGACGTAGAGCATGACGAACGAGAGAGAGAGAGAGAGAGAGAGATTGCATTTCAAAAGTTATACTAATCATGAAGATAGCGAGTGCTTGCATACATAGTGTAAGAGCATGTATCTTGAACAGTAGGATGTACGTATTATTACAACATGGTATCGCTCTTAGAACCCGTACGCAGTTCTCTTCATCATCCTTACGAACTCGTCCATGTTCACCTCTCCATCATCTGCAATTTTTCCCCGCAAGAAAAATCGTCCGTTTCAAGAATCAATTCAAGCATGCTAAGAAAGCAAACACCATTATATATGGATATTCCAGTGAAATAACATGTTTTTTTCAGCAAATAAAGCTGCTAGATTTTCAAGAAACAATCATCATATCATAGAGCAGTGATGCTACTATTATGATAAGCAAGGGAACAAGAAAAGAGGGTTTAGACTTACGGTCACGATCAGCTTCTTCGATCATCTCCCGGATCTCAGCATCTGTGAATTTTTCGCCTAATTCCTTTCCTATGCGTTTGATATCGTCAGCAGATATCTTCCCCTGCAAAATCAAGAACATAAGAAAAAGAAGCCAGCCTGAGTTATTTTTTCTTGGTAATAAGGAACATCCCCAACAAAAATGGAACTAAGTTGTACACACATTCTTGTCCAGATCAATGATCTGGAACGCCTTGGACAGCTCTTCCTTTGTGTCCCTTTCACCAATCTTTGCAGTCATCATATGTTCAAACTCATCATAATCTATAGCTCCACTTCCGTCCTTGTCGACATCAGCTATCATTTTGTTGATTTGCTACAATATGATACGACGGGTGGGAATCAAAACAGAAGTATCGGATACCAGGATGACAAGGAAAGAGGAAAACCCGAGCTGGAGATCCGAAGAAACAGAGAAAGATATACGATACCTCTTCGGTCATTTCAAAACCGAGAGCCCTATCATATGGAAATTTCAGAGTGATATTTAGTAACATTTCCATAATTTCGAATCAGTGAATCTGAAAGAAGTAGGAAGGAACAACACTGATAACAAATCCAGAATATACCTCATAGCAACGTTAAGTTCTTTAGCATCGATAGTGCCAGATCCATCTGTATCGAATAGCTCGAAAGCTTCTCTGATCTCTTGCTTCTTCTGCTGTGTCAATCCATGGTGACGTCTGGGTTTCTCTTTCCTTGAAACACCTCTGTACATACCCGACTGCCCACATGAAAATTCAACACGTATGAACAGCCACACATCATCAACTAAGCAATTCGTAACAATTCAAATTCATAAATTAGCTAAATTTGAAGACGGAATATGAAGTTTCATCTCTTAGAAAACCTAAATCAGCGAAAAGGGCTTCGATTTCTTGCCAAATCTTCAACCCTAACGCAATTATGCCGGTCCCGACGAGAACCCTAAAAATTGAATCTACAAAAACCCTAATTTCTTCAACCCAGAATGCATTAGCAATTCCTTTTTCAGAATGCATTAGCAATTCCTTTTTCATATTTCCTGAATCCCAAACCGCAATCGTCGCTTAACAGCGGAAACCCTCGCCCGATCCCAAGGAATTGCTAATCTTACAGGAAGAACAAATTCGAATCGACAAAAAGAAAATAGAAGCAACAGAGTATTATTTTCAGAAAGACCCACCATTTCTTCTTCAAACGAAAAGATCACGACGCCGATCACACCGGAGAAAGGACGAACAATCGACTTTCCTCTGCACTCCACACTTCGGATTCGCGGAGAAATAATCTCAGCGTTTTTCTCCTCTCCTCGCTGTAACGCGATAAAGCCCAAATCCCAAGTTCCAATCCCAGTTTGGGCCCAGTCCACGTATGACTTACGGGCTCATTGTTGCTTTTATATGTCGCAATAACGATTTTTATATGATATAAATGTTATTTTGTCTATTGATTAAATTGTAATTGAGTACAAAGGAAATTATATTGTAACCCTTTCCATTACTATTCAAAATAAGAAAAATAGGAATTATTACAGTATCATTTCGTATCCTACACGA